TAAAAAAAAAAAAGAAAAAAAGTAAGAATAAAAAAAAAAAAGAAAAAAAGAAAGAAAGAAACCCAGACAAAGCCAAAAATGCAGAAAAAAAGAAAGAAAACATAAGGAAGTAGCTTCCGCCTTTCTTTACAGCACTTAGCAAGTGCAATGATAAATTTAGCTCTTGCTCTCTGGTCACGGCGTAACTCCATTTTTTCTGTAGTCTATCCTGAGAAGCATAAACCGTAAGATCATTTTTTTCTGTTCCATGCAAAAGGGCCACAAGGAGTTTTCCCTCAGCCATAAACGTAGAGAATGTCTTTGCTCTGATCCAGGAAGTCAATTTAACCCTCTCGGCAAGATCCACCGTCTTCGCCAACCAGCCCTCCGTGGAGGGTCGTGCCGAATCCGTCCGCCTTTGGCAAGAGAATGACCTCGCTGCGGGTATCAATTATTAGAGCAAAGTCGCGTGACTTTTTCCAGCTGTTTGTCCATCATTTGCCAAAGAGAAACCTCTGGCCTCAGCTGTACATCAAGCCTGGCCGTGCCGGGAGGCCTGGGGGCCGGATGGGGGCTCACCTCAGCGGAAGCGGCTTGGGGGGCAATCGATTTCGCCCCCCACTCGCCCGCCCCGTCATCTTGAATGTCTTTAGGATTTTTGTATAGGGTTTGGTTTATAGGGGATTTTGAGGGATTCCGTTTTTCATTATTTATGGGTTATTTTATAGGGTTTTGGTTTTTTAACTGTGAGCCGCCCAGAGTCACCCACTGGGGGAGATGGGCGGCATACAAATATAATAATAAAGAGATAAATCAATCAATCAGTCTTTAAAAACCTCTCAATCCGTGTCTGCATTTGAGTCCAGAATTTTTTAGGTTTTTACACATCTACCAAATATGATAAAACGTCCCTTCTTGTTGTTCGCATTTCCAACATAAATCTGAAGTGCTTTAATGCATTCTGGACAATTTCCCTGGTGACATCTACCGACAGTACCTCATTTTATGGAAATTCTCTTTAAGATCAGTACATGGTGTGAGTTTCAGTATTTTCAACCCCAAAGTCTCCCACTGTTCCATTTGTGTATGGTAACCAAAATGTTTAGCCCACCTTATCATGCGTTCTTTCACTTCTTCTGCTTCTGTTTCAAATTTCAATAAAAGTTTAGACATTTAAGCAATTACAAGTCCGTCCTAATTCTGTTTCAAACTCAGTCTGACGGTGTTCGAAACCAAAAGTTTTTTTCTCTACTCTAAATCTTTCTAATAATTGGACATAAGAGAACCGTTGGCAGCTACATGCCTCCGCCACCGTTCTTCTCCTGGTTTCCTTTTCCCTTCCCCTTGACACAGTTCTGGTATCTCACGCGTGTTCAGTTGTCATTTCTCTTCCGTGAAATGCTTCTTGTGCCCAGAGCCACAAAGCTACTTTCAGGCACAAGCTGGCTTTGGATCGACTCCGCATTCTCAGTACGAAATCACTTTTAAAGCCCAGAGTAACCTCCGCTGTGTCGTAGCATAGATTCAGAAAGGGGTGTTGAAAACTGTGGCTCAACATTGGAATTTGTCTGCTGGGAACTTGTAGAGTCTGCTACCTTGGAATTCATCTTCTTGTAGTGCCCAGATGGCTTTTAAACTTTTTCCTGAAGTTTTAAAAATATTCTCTCTGTCTCTTCCTGCTTCCTGGCGCTCAAGGGCAGTCACTACTGATGCCCAACGTCGGTCAACGAATCCTGCTCAGTTGATGGTCTTCTTGGACTTACTCTTCAGAGATGTCCTCTCTTAAGCAAATTTCTCCACGTACTCTTAAACCATTATTTTTAAGCAACATATCAGCAGCTCAGATCTTATGGGAATATCAAGAAGCACATTAGTGAGCATCATACTTTGTACCAAAGCAAGTGACCATTTCGGTGGTGCAATGACCCATGAAGCATCTGTTCCCAGACTTCTATAGTGCTCTGTAGACATCAGTGCTGGGGGGTGGGGATGACAAGGGACAGCATGGGTGTCATGACATCATCACACTAATGATGCACTAAGTGATGATGTCATGTTGTGCACGACCTCCTGGTGTCTTTTATCAGATACCTGTGCCAGGCAAAGCTCAGATCTCGAATAATAACATTCCCCCAAAAGTTCTTTCCTACAAAAATAACTTTGCTGGAACAGTCCTCTTGTCCTTGTCTGCCTAAAGCCCCCCAAAGAGGGGTTCAAAAAGAGCCAAGTGGTGCAACTGAAGATCTGCCTGATATTTATGTGCGTCGCAAAGGACAGAGCTTTGAACTCATGGATGGGGACACCCTCTTGACTTTTTTGACCCCCTGGCAGACATCCCTGGTGAAAATTGAGACTCGAAACTCACCCAACGAAGCTGTGGGACCATGCCTGGGACGGGCAGTCTTGATGAAAAGACTCTAGTTTGGCTGGTCGTGGGATTGCCGTGACTTCTGCTACAACATTTAGGGGGAAACATCCAGGAACTGCCTGCAGAAGTTTTGAAGGAGTTTCTTAGAAAGAAAGGGGGTGTTGCCTCTTCCCCCTGGAGGGAACCAGGTTCAGGCAGGCTGTGTGGGAAGCAAATAGCTCAGACGGAGCAGGGAAGGAGGCAAAGGCAAGGCAGGGGTGCCCCGCAGAGCAAAGGCACACAGGTCGTCCTTGTTGAGGGACTGCCTTGGACAGCAACTGTTCACAGTTATGACGGTGATGAAAAAATCACTTTGCGACCAAGAGTGCACCTTTATGACCTTTGCAGTGTCTCTCTCTCAGCCACGTGATCGCCTTTGCAGTCAGTTAGCACGAGTCCTGCGCCTGCCCCCCTCTTTTTTCTCTGTTTGCCCCCTCCCAGAGCGCAGAGATTGCTTTAAAGAGCGATCACTTCCTGAGCTGCTTTTCTCAGACAGAGGTTCCTAAAAAGTGCTAACCACAAATTAACAAGCTCAACTCTGTGACCTTAATTAGTTGCACTCAGGGTTCTAATAATTGGACATAAGAG